GATTAGCAAAACTTTCACTTAATGTGGAAGCGTTTGGCTAGTGCCAGTGGCTTAAGTAGTGGTTATTGTGTAAAATGCTAAGTTTTGGTCCTTTCAGTACAGACACTGCCAAATGAAGATTTAGAGATGCAATACAGTGACAGTTGCTTTTATTCTTTTAATATTGTATGCAGTTCTTGAAGACTGTTGTTTTTAAAGGTCTTTTCTTAATTGGAACTGTTGGGTCATGGCAGTGAGTTGCCTAGTGAGAGAATTCTACTAGGTAATAAAATGGCTATGCCTTGAGCTAGTCATTCTTGATAGGGCCTCTTTTAGAGGGTGGTGGTTCAGTACAGAGAAAAGTCTTTCAAGATGACACCTTGTTTGTGCATTCCTCTCCCCATAACCTGCTGTCAGCAACAAGAACGTAATGCTTTTGGCACTACAGAGCAGTTGTAATTGCAGGAAAGAAAACAGCCTTGCTGTCTGCCTTGTGCATCAACCGGTTTGCTGTTTAAATTTTTTGGCTCTGTCTCTGGTGATTCATGAAGCAGAAAGAACAGAACTTTATCTTCAGATGACTGATGGAGCTTGAAGTTAGAAACGCCATGGCGCTGGCTTGTGAAATGAACATACTCATGTCCGAGAACGGAGTCGATGCGGAACACAGATCCTTTCTGGAGGCCACAGTTTTGCTGACCGTGACAATGCTTTTAAAAAAGTGACACGAGGTAAGAAAACCAAGCAAAACCTGACGTTCTTTTGTGGACGTGCACACCATTGTACGTCTCCTCCTTTTATGATGTCAGTTTTAACTTGGATAGTTCTACAAAAGCCCGTACGTTAACTAGATTTAATATTAAACTTAATTCCCTCCTCTCTAACCAAAAGAATGCTGTAGAACACATTAACTGACTTTGAAGTTATTCCAGTCACCTGGGTAAATGCACAATTTTTTGACAGCTGAAGATTTGTTTTTATGCATGTTATTTAATTGACTGGAACAGCTCTAATCTCATGAATATGCATATATATATATATATATATATATATATATATTTTTTTTTTGAGGGACATATGTTCACTTTTTAGACTACCTTCCAGATTTGTATCATATAAATAATGCTTAAGATGTAGATTAAAAATAAATACTGCACTTGGCAGTTGCCACTTTTTAATGTCTTGCACATTTCAATTATTTTTTTAAAATAGAAATAAATACTAAAATCTGTTGTGCCATATTATGGGCTAACCGCTTGCCAAATTTTATTTTTTTAAATCTGTCTTTGACATGATGTACATCTCCCCAAAAGTGTCTTAAATTGGTCCTTGATTAGTTTTATCCTCATAGACCTTAAATTTGGACACAGATTTTATTTTTAAAACTTGGAAATAAATAATTGCCTCTCAGTTGAGACCTTGCATTAGGAAGGGTCATTGCAAAGCAAATGGCTTAACAGCAGAACTCTGAACCTCCGGAAAGCACGGTTCTTTTAGCAGAGATGCTGACATGATTTTAAGTTGCATGGCATTGATGGAGGGAAAAAAAGTTGGCAGGAGTTCTGTTGTAGCCCCATTCAGTCCTTGAGCAATACTTAAAGGAGCACTATACTAATAACTGGAAGCTATTATTGTGAACAATTTCACACAAGAAGGCTTTCTGAATGGCCTTTGCATGGTTTCTAAAACTTGTACTGCGTGTGCGTGTGTGTGAGAGAGAGAAAAAGGATTAGAATACCCAGTTTTGGTGGTAGGTTCCTTGATGTGTTGTGGTTTTTTTTGTTTTGGTTGTTGGTTTTGGGGTTTTTTTTGGCTAGAAGTCTTAAATCTATAGGCTACTGCTTTATACAGTTGTGTTGACTTTGTTCTGCTACTGTTCAGTTGCACAAAGTTTTCTATATGATGTACTAGATTCTAATGTTAATTCTTTGTAACCATAGTTGCGGTTATTCTCTATAGTTTAAAAAAAAGTCATATTCTAAAGTTCCTTTTAAAAACTTGTATTTTTATTGCAGTGTTACCAGATGGCCTTATATACGTCACAGTGTTTGTGATAGGTACAGTTGTGTATTTAATGCTTATCCCTCCTCTTACTTTTGTGTGTATAGCTGAGGTGTATAGTCTTGGTAATAGAGATAAGCATACAAGAAAACTCTCCACTTGTATTGTGAGGACTGACTTGAGTGCTGGTTATCTGCATTGAGCTGTATTAAGACAGCAGGAAATACTGACAGAAAACTCTTAAAGAGAGTCAATGAGCACGAGACTTCGTTGGGGTATTTTGAGCGAGCTGATGCCCTCTTGATGGAAAGTTTGAATTGTGGGCCAGATCTGTAGCAGGTGTAACTTGGAATAATTGACTCCAGTAGACCTGAGCTGATGTACACCAGCAGAAAATCTGGCCCTGTAGCTTTTTATCTAAAAGGCTCAGAGCAGGGGGACATGAGTTAATTTTGGGAGAGCTTAAGCAACATGGTAACATGGCACAGTAATTTTTTAAAATTAATAAAGTATAATCATGTTTGTCAGTAACTTCAGATTTAAATTTGCTTTGTTTACAAGTTGGAAAAAACAAAACAAAAAACACCTGCAAACTCACACTAGGATCTGAAAGTTGAGCTGGGTTCTTTTCTTCTTTGTGTATCATCACCTGTGGATGATGTCCGTAGCCTAAATTCTGCAGTCATTTTCATTGATGCAGCCCTATTGTCTTCACTGATGGTGAACTCGTGGAGCAGAGGGCAGAATTATCACCTTGTAATTTGATTTTATTTTTTTAACTCTGAAAAGAACCCATCTTACTTACCTGCAGAGCCCACAATGGTAAAATCTAACCTTAAGCAGTAAAATCAGCTGCTCTGACTGAATACACAGGGGGCAGTAGATGCCATTTTTCACTTATTCTTTCCAGAGTAGAATTGCACTTTAATCTTATACAGAGTCAGCAGATAAAGGAAATTTCTGCTCTGAGGCAGAGTTGCGTACATCTATTAACCTCCTATGCATACTACACATGATCTCTTAGTTTGGGACAAATACTGTAATATTAGATAGTCCTGATGCTCTGAGTACACTAGGGTAAACTTAACTGGGAATAAAGCAGCTTTTTAGTGTAACTCTCTGTTCTTTTGAAAATTGTACTTTTATCCTATCCAGTTATCTTAATGCCATTGTGCTGTTACCAGCATTTTTTAATGTAATGCAAGTGCATAAATAGCCAAGTTCTGAGAAATGGTTCAGTGTTACTAAACCTGGTTTTATTTAACCTCCTTGCATAAGAGATTAGGGAGACCTTCAGCATATTAAGATGTGATCAAAACTCATCTGATGGAATTTGAGACACTGACTATGGCTGATTATACACTTGAGTGTGTTTCAGCTTTGAGAAGAATTATTGGGGCAGAGTTACTAAATGCTAAGGTGCAGAGCCAATTGTTGAGGAATTGCACGTCAGCGACACTTTGCTTTAAAAGGTTGGTGCATTGGCTAAAGTACATTATTCAAACCTAATGAAGGTCTTCCCTGAGGAAGCAGGTGACTTGTCTATTGCTTCAATTTTTTGTGCAGAAGAAAATACAGTGTATGGCAGTTTTTTTAAAAAATGGGGTAGGGAATGGTTGTGGAAATCTATTTTGTGTAAGAATTGACAGAGGGATTTGCTTTGTACAATAATGCAAGCCGGCTTTTAAGAAAAAAGCATTGTAGCAAACTATTCAAGTCAATCATATGTTAATAGATACCTGCAACAAGACATGGAAAACAATTGTATTTTTTTAAATAAATATTTTTAACAAAGTCTTTGCTCTTCTGTCCTTTAGAGGAAACAGTTACAGCTGCTGTACGGGTGTAATTAACCCCCTGATAATGAAGAATGTTCATTACCTTCAAGTGTTTACTGGCATCTTGTCTAGCAGAGGTAAAGATCCTATTGGAGAGCTCAGTGCTGGTTTCCTCCAGGTAAGATCTCCTATGACAGCACCCTTCTTAAGGATTTGGAGATGGTAAAAAGCTGGATTTATAGGGAATGTGAAACATGGCAACACTATTTAGCCTACTGCTATCACCCTGCAAAGACCAAGCTCTGTTTTTTTAAGGATGAAATACTAGGATCTCTAATACAGGTAATGTCTTATTTGGAGTAGACCCCTTTGAAGATAGCAAATGACTGGATATTTAAAGTTTTTCATATTAATCCTGTATTGTGTTGGTGCATAACCTAATTCAGTCCGGTTGTACCCACAGAGACAGGTGGTTGACTCTTTCCCTCCCCCCCCCCCTCAAAATGCAGGAAAGCGACATGTCTGAGGACTTGTGTCTTATGAGGGTGGGAAAGGATCTCTTATCTCAGGCCCTCTGTTAAAGAAGGGTTTTCCTACTGTAAGAGGAGTCTGAAATGCACCCTAATACCAGCTATTGATTGGCTGTAATTGGGAATATTTGCAGAACAGTTACTAAGACCTGTTGTCCTGCCTCACTGAACCACTTGTACAGTAAGAGTGGCACCAGCTGGTGGCACAGAGGAATTACAGTGCATTTTCAGTTCCACCTGAAGGAGTAAAGTCACACTAACTAAAAACTGTTCTTCTGGAGGACACCTACGCGTAATGATTTATTTTGTATTTAATCTAACACCTCCATTCTGTTTCCTCTCTTTGGTGAGGGCTAGTGTGTGCTCACCTTACATAATGTATGGCCATAAACTAGTTTTACAAAAGTACTACCTCCTAAGGGAGCTTTCTGGGAAGAGATTTTGCATTGTTAAGTATGGGGAAAACAGTAGGTGGGATACAAATTCTAAAGGGCACTGCAACTGGATTTATAGAAGGCACTGCAGTTTGGAATTCCAAAGTGAATTGTGCATACTGAACAGAATAAATAAGGACTTAAGTCAAATTGCTCTAGATAACAATTGAAATTGTTTCATTGGAGAACCCATCCTAATCTCAGCCTCAGGGTTGTCTGGCTGGAAGGGGTTTGGTTCAAATTGTTCAGGTCCTGTAACAGTTACACTTAGAGCCTAGTGAGAATATAGTAATCACTTTTAATTAACATTGCTTTATATACACACACACATGTACATCCATCCACATACAATCACACTAAAGACTTTCTCTTCAAACTTTCCTAAAGTATCTCCAGAAAGCTAGCAACAGATCATTCTTGGGGTATACAGTACCTCGAGAGTTTCTCTCATGGAAGGCACCTTTTGTAGAGGTTATTGCACAGATTAAATGGGTGGAGGTGGAGCCTAGATGCATCTGCTTAAGGTTTCAGATAGAAGCAAGACTACAAACCTCCCCAAAACACTGCTACTTGAACCAGTCACTTTTGCAGTTTACCAGTGACTTAAGCAAAAGTCACTTTTTCCTCTGCTATATAACTAATTTAAATACTTTGTATGCTAGAGCCCATTGATTATGGCTCTGCTGCAATGAACATATCTGATACTGTGTAATATAGATTGATCCTGTTATCAAAGTGCACCTGGTGTTTTCTGCTAATATTGTGATTTCCCGTTTGGGAGCATATTTGAAGCCTGGATACTCTTCCAGATCTGGTTGCTGGAAAACTAATTCTGAACCACTCTTGCAGTGCAGCCTTACGCAGAGGATTGTTCTGTATTAATTAAAAGCTAGAACTGGTGCTGTAGGTTGTCAGGACCATGGCTACAAAGGGGTCCTGTGCTTACACACCAATAGAGAAACCTATTGGTTATAAAGAAAAGGAGTACTTGTGGCACCTTAGAGACTAACCAATTTATTTGAGCATAAATAAAATAGTCTCTAAGGTGCCACAAGTACTCCTTTTCTTTTTGCGAATACAGACTAACACGGCTGTTCCTCTGAAACCTATTGGTTATAGTAACTCTAAACCAGGTGATGATACGCAAAATAGGACACATGAAACAGTAAGACTTACAACTTCCAGCCTTTCCTCTGAAGAGAAGCTTGCTTACAAGAGGAATTTTTCTCCACCAAGCTGCCATAAATTGCAGATTTCCAGGATTCTGCAGTTTGACCTTCTTAGTGGAATAACAGACATGAGCAACTTCTGCTGGCTGTACTTAGCCTCCCAAGGTGACTTGGGATGTTTGGTTGGTTCTGACTTATTCAAATTTAACATTTTTGATTGCAGAAAACTCAGGTAATTTACCACGTCATTAGTGTGAAATCATCCTTCCTAGTAATGCTTGATGATTTGTGTTTATTGCAAATACATAACTTATTGTCCAGGGTTATACTTTCATTTTAGCGCTGATAAAGTCTAGGGTCGCCCATCATTGCTGGCTTGTCAGGTGAGGAGGCATCCACTGCTGCAAAATAAGATTAGTTCACCTGTCAGTATAACACTATGTGCAGAATCAATGAGCATTCATTCTAACATGTTTGAACATAAAATGAGGCGGCCCTCTGCTCTATTGGATACCTAGTTGCAGTATTCCAGAGTAACAGCCGTGTTAGTCTAGTTGTTACTGCTAGTTGCAGTAGTTCTTGAAGTTATTGGTGCAGAGGCAGTTTCCTCTGCCTTAGAGAGGTTTAATTTTGGGAGGCATCCCTAGTACCAATCAATAAAAAGTAAGGGGGACTGTCGGATGGTTTACACAGCACAAGTTCAATCTATTCCTAGCATTGGGACTGCCTGACTTATCTTGGGCAAGTCATAACTTTGCAGGACCTCTAGTCACTTGCTTTCAAAATGGGTTTACTTCATAGGGGTGTCAGGAGGCTTAATTCCTTTCTGGGGAACAGTGATGTTGGTGCAAAGGGTGCTGTAACAGCCCACTGTATCAGAGACAACACAGGAAATGTTCCATCTCTCACCTGGATAGAATTTATCAATGCTGTCTTTAGCTTCCAAAGAAAGCAGCTGCCCATCTAGAGTTTGCAACTAAGACATTTCATAGATTCCAAGGCCAGAATGGGTCACTGATAATCTAGTCTGACCTGTATAACCAAGGCTATAGAATTTCCCCAAAATAATTCCTAGAGCAGAGCTTTAAACAAGAAATCCAATTGTGATTGGTCCGTGATGGAAAATCCACCATAATCTTTGTTAAATTGTTCCAAAGATGAATTGCTCACTGTTAAAAATGTACACCTTATTTCCAGTCTGAATTTGTCTAGCTTTAGCTTCCAGCCATTTGATCATGTTATATCTTCCTCTCCTCCGTTGAAGAGCCCATTATTAAATATTTGTTCCCACTGTAGATACTTAGACTTAATCAGGTGAGCACTTTGAATCTGTTTTTATAAGGCATGTTTTCTATTCCTTTAATCATTCTCATTGCTCTTCTCTGAACTCATTCCAATTGATCAATATCCTTTCTGAATTGTGGGGACCCAAACTGGACACAGTAGTCACTGAGTCCTAAATGCAGAGGTGAAATAATCTCTCTGCCTACTTGAGATTCCCATTCTTGCATCCCAGGATCAAATTAGTTCTTTTGGCCAAAGCTCAACACTGGGCGCTCGTGTTCTGTTGATTATCCACCACAACCTCCAGACCTTTTTCTGACTGACTGCTTCAACGGAATGCAGTCCCTTATCCTGCAAGTATCTACTACCTTCTTTGTTCCTACATGTATACATTTAAATTTAGCTGTATTAAAAGACATATTGTTTGCTTGCATCCAGTTCACCAAGTGCTCTGGATTGCTCTCTGTGAGCAACCTTTCCTCTTATTTATCACTCCCCAGTTTGTGTGTCATCTGCAAACTGATGGTGTGTTTTCTGACAGGTCACTGTTGATAATGTTAACTAGCATAGGGCCAAGAATCAATCCCTACAGTCCTCCATTGGGAACACCTGCTCTGTGACTATTGCCCCTTTACAGTTATGTTTTGAGACCTATCAGCTCACCCCATTTAATGGGTGCCATGTTTATTTTATATCATTCTAGTTTGATGCACAACATGTCATGTGGCACCAAGTCTAAGCATGTTACGTCAACACTATTACAAGCTCTGGCTTTGTGTCTTTCAGAGGGAAGGTTGCATTATTCGTGGGCTTAGCTAGGAAGCAGGCCAGAGAGACGGTACAGGTTGCAACTGTCAGGACTTGCTTCTACTAGTTATATAGCAGAGTGATTTGGTTTCTCAGCTATCATCCCACTCAATTTATGGTTCCTCCCTTACCCCTCAAAACCTGCTTGATGTCTTCCCATATCAGCAAAGTCAAACTTGTGTCTGCCAGGGTTTTGTGGGCAAGTCAGAGCAGGAAGAGGGAACAGGAAGCAGCAGGAAAATAAACATTTCCTTGCATTTTACTTGGAACGCTGCACACTGGCTGTATGTTAATGCACATGTCATTTTTCCTGTCATTCTAAAGCAGGCCTAACTGCTGGCATTTTCTTACCTGATGAGGGCTTGGGGTACATCCTGTGGAAAAACAAAAGGAAAGTGTAGAACATAAAGGCCAAACCTCCAAAGATCATCCCACAAACCAGGAAACTGTAGCTGCCCTGATCATGGATAATCTGCAATAAAGAAAAATAAGGGTCTTAAGTCCAGTGGGAGAGGTGCTTCATACCAGGGCAAGCCACAGGGAGCAGCAGGCTGTTTACATCACGCCTGGCAGAGGTCAGCAGTGTTCCTTTGTTTGAACATAGGGGAACCTTCAGCTCAGGAATCCATTTCCCCTGCTGGTCTGGCCAAGCCAATCTGTTGGCCTGCAAGGCAGGTGCCAAGGCCCATCTGTTTTCACAGGCTGTGTTGGCTCTCTAGACTCTCTTGCTATCCATCTGTACAGATGGCCTATTTTATGCACATGTATTATATGTGTATTATACAAATAAATCCTGCCATGAAATGGCCTAACCAAGACCTACCTGAACCAGATACAAGGTGAATTGATATTCTTGTTTTACCACCTGGCAGACTCTGCTTACTCCTCCCCCCCCCCCCAAAAAAAAAAAGTTATATAAACTCGTGGCAGAAAGAACAGTGGGGAATGGAGCTTTTGGAAGCCCTGGAACTGGGTAGATTTACATTTAGGGCATGTAGCGAAGCTTGACTCACCGCCATGGGGCCTCCTGCTGGTCATCTTGGAATTAGCTCTTTTCCAGCTTCAGAGCACCCTCTGCAGGCTGGTATCTCACCTGCCTCAGGCCCCCGTGTCCCTCCTGGTGCCCCTTTACCTCAGGGTTCTGCCCCCACAGTACCCCCACACACTGGGTCTCCCCTCCTAGGGGAATCCCCAACCCTCTAAACCCACCTTGCCTCAGTGGCTACTGCCAGTCATCATCTCTCCTTGCTCACCGGGGCAGACTACAGTCTGTAATAGCCACTCATCTTTGGCCAGGGGGTAGGACCTACTGCCTTTGCTTATTCCCAGGCTGTATCTCCGCAGCCCAGCACCTCTGTAGGCCTTCAAGACATGGCCTGCAACCTGGGGTTTTACCAGGCTGGAGTTTCCTTGCCCTATTCCCCAGCACTGCTCCAGTTCAGGTACCTTCCTCTCAGGCAGCTAGCCCCTTTCCCTCCAGGACCAGAGAGAGACTCTTCCAGTTTCTAGCCCACAGCCCTCTTATCAGGGCCAGTTGGGCCCTAATTGAGCTGGCCACAGCTGTGGCTGCTTCCCCAATCAGCCTAGCCTGCCTGCTTTTAACTCCTGTTTATTGGAGTGAGGCAGCTGCTCCACTACAGGGCATTACTGCTCTAAGGAACTTCACTCAATGAATATGTTGCTTCCACAGTTCTCCCAACTTGGACAACTGAATTTCTAACACAAGAGGTAATGCAAAACAACCCATAGCTGTAGCAGCATTGCTTGGTGATGGTAAGGTGTGGAGTGGAGCAACTAGCCCATCCCACCATGACTCTACTGCTTTTTGGGCTAGATTTACCCTGGAAACCACAGTTCCACTGTAGGCATACTGCTGTAAGAGTGGGCACTTTTATAATTACACCTAGCACTCTTCAGCGCTTGATGGTAGCTGTCACTTAGCAGCTCCCACTGATTGTATTGCCTGTTTTCTCTACAGAAGACTGCCCCCTCTTTCCTTGCAGAATGACTATGTAGCTTTCAGAACTGTCTGAGCATGATTGTATAAAACGGCCATGCACTAAGTGTTCATGTAAACCCTACTGCCGTGCAATACACGCCTCCTAGTGTGCTTTAATCCACTAAATCGGGTAGATTTAAAGAGCACTAGGGGACTTTTAGTGCATGGCAGCAGGCTGTTGTGAGGTACGTGTACGCCTCATCTTGTGTAGGCAAGCCTTAAGACTTCCATTCACTCAAATACAGATCTGTATGTGCTTGAATTAAAATTCTCGTCAATTCAGGGCATATCCTGGGTTTTTCCTTTTTTCTGCACTTACCGACCCCACGAGTAACTGTAGCACCATCTCTCCAATTGCAGCTCCAGTGACTAATACTGTCGTGGCACAGCCTGAAAACAAATGGTACAAGTTCTAGGAACTGCTGAAATGAATAGCTTCAGAGGGCCAAGAATGTCCCCAGGCTAGAGCTCTGTGAGGTGAGACCCACCGGTTCTACATTCATGAGCCTGCACAAATATGGCCCTTTTGCATTCTGATATTCTATCAAGGCTTGTCTATACCGCAGGTTACTGCCTGGCAACCTATTGTGCTGTAAGCCCTTTGCTTCCTTATGGACAGCAGAGGATATTAAAAAAATAATGGCTGCAGCCAGCCAGGGTACCAGTAAAAAGTTACCTGATCCTCCCACTCTCCACTGTGTGCAGAAGGACCTGTGCTCCCTGTTAGCCATTCATTCTCCATTTTCCCACATATCTACCCTACCACGTGGTGCATGGAGCCAGGAGCTGTGGATGGTTCCACGGGGTGCTAACTGGTAGTGGAAATCACCATCCTAATTTAGCTGGAGCTATTCCTGGGTAACCTGCAAACCATGATCTTAGGAAGGTGAAAAGGGGCTTGCTTGCTGCTGGTACTTTTTCTGCTCAGAATCTGACAGGGGGTAGGGATGCTCACCTTTGTATTGGAGGATGTCTTCCGTGTAGGCCAGCATGCTGGGGAAGGTGCTGCTGAGGAAGAGACCCAGGCACGCTGTGCCCACAAACAGGAAGACAACGCTGTAGGAGAAAATCAGGAGCAGGAGGAAAGTTGCAAGCACTCCAACCTGCAACAATACAAGCCCAGAGTCACTGTCAGGGAAGAAAATAATCGCTGAGGTAGCACTGGGCTCTAGCGGGCTTTTAAAAAGAATAGTTGAGGGCCTGGAAAAGAAGTAGATTTATCTGGTCTAAGCGAGCTAGCTTAACTGAGCTTTGTCTCTTGAACATTGAGTTACAGGCATAATCTGCACGTCACATAGGAATAACTATTCACTGACTGAGCTCACAGCTAGAAATCAGAGTCGATTCACCTTCAAATGCAGTATTCAATACCCTCACTAGAGGGACATAAGCCAGCTACTTTGGATTCTGGTCAAAAAGCCAAGCAGAACCATCTGTCCCAAGTTCATTAGACAAAGAATTAAGATTACCCTCAAGCTCCCTCTGATTTTCTAGATGTTGCAATTTGGTGTTTCGAGTGAGCCTTAAATGCAGATTTTTGCGATTTCCCTCATTTGCACACAATTGTTCTTCAAGCCACAACTCTGTGCTGTTTTGCTGAATTGCTAGTGACCACCCAGCAGGGGGAGCTCTCACCACATTTTGTAATCCCAGCCAAAAATCAAGGCGCTGTTTTTTCCCCTTAATTCCTTCAGGACTAAGTGATAGGTGGTTTTAAAAATGTGTGCATGTATAAAAACACACAGAGCAACCTGGAATCTAAAAGCCATTCCTCTAAATTTAACTTAATATGAGAGTTAAGTCAAATTTTAATCCTAAATGACTGTCAAAACTGTGTACATACAATATTAATAATTGCAATTCTAGAACAAATTTTATTCAGTGATCACAGACAGTCAAAATAGGTACATAATTTTCTATCTGTGAGTATACTTGCGTAATGCAGATTTGGTTGCCATTGAAGTAAAAGGCAAAACTTCCAATAAATTCAACAGGACTAGAAGGAGCCCCCCAAATCAGTTCTAGTTAACAATAGAACCCAGGAGTCTGGATCCTTAGTCCTCAGATGTTCAGTCGTGCCAGATCAAACCAGGGAGTGGTCTACCTAGTCTGGTGACTAGTAAAACACTTCAGAGGAAATTGCAAGAATTGTCAGAACTATGGAAATAACCTGGCAGTAGGGGGAAGTTTCTCCCTAATTCAGGCTGTTAGTGACTGATTTATGTTCTGAAGCCCTCTGGGCTTCAGATATTCTTAATCTTAAAAAACGAAGTGACGTGGCTGTTCCTCTGTGGCCTGATTTTTTTTTTAAAGCAATTTGTGATTCGGTGCCTCAGTGTTTGGATGCCCAATTTAAAACACCTCAAAAGCACTTGGTTTTTAGAAAGCACTCCTCACTTTTGAAAAATTAGACCCATAAATATCCAGTCCCATTTTCCCATGATTCTACCATGCTCTTAGCTTCACATGTATATTGTGGCAGTGAATTCCCCAGGTTAACTATACATTCTATAAAAGGTTTCCTTTTTTTCTCCCAATTTTAAATGAATTGCCTTACAGATTCATAATTATAGGGCCAGAAGGGACCACTATGATCATCTAGTCTGACTTTCTGTAAAACACAGGCCAGAGAACTTCCCTGAATTAATTCCTGATTAAACTAGAGCATATCTTTTAGAAAAACATCCAATCTTGATTTAAAAATTGCCAGGGGTGGAGAATCCACCACACATCTTGGTAAATTGTTTCTATTTAGCTCTTTTCCCCCTGGTTCTTATATTAGAAGGAAGGGTGATTAGGAGAGCCTGAATTTCTCTGCCTCGCCTCATCTCATCTCCTCTTCAACCACTCTAAATCTTCTCAATCCCTTGTCACATAACACTCTCTCCTGGCCTCTAATAATTTTTGTTACCTCTCGTCTAGTCCATCTTCCACCGCCTTTTTTGAGATGAGGTGACCACAGCTAACAGTATTCTAGGTAGAGGTGCACCACTGATTTACATAAAGGCATGATTACTTTAGCGTTTTCTATCCAATTCCTTACACATCCTCATATCATTTGCTTTTTGACTGTTACTGCATGCTGAGCATTTCACTGAGACAGGCAGAGCACCCCTCCAAGTGATTAGCAGTCATTAGAACCCAGCAAAGTAGATGGAGTAGTTAAAATTATTCCTTCCAATGGGCGTTAGTTTGCATTTGTGATCATGACATTGCCTAATTACTAGACAACAATACAGATTGGTTGGAGCACTCCGTTAAATTACTTATTTCTACAGAATGATTTCATTATAAGCCGAGGGGCACTGCAACCAGAATTATGGGCACAGTGGGCTGAATTGAAATATTTATGGACTTTGAGTCTTCTGTTGTCCTGTCAGAGGACGTAAGAGTAAGTAAAGTTGACGTCCACGTCACTCAACATTTCCACTGAGTTCTAGTCGGACAGATTATAGCCTATGAGAGAAATCAACAATGCAATAAAAGTTAAAAAATGTTTTCAGACTAAGTCCTTTGTCTTGCTTTGGGTTCTTTGTACTCGGTTAGCAGTGGTGTACATGGTGGTTTGTGCCGCCTTGCCTAAATTGGGGTGCAAATCACTGCTTGCATTGCTGAGGCATATCCACATAAGGGATATGTAGCTACATTGGTGCAAGAATACCCAGGGTAACCAAGCCTTTGAGCTAGCTCAGTCCGCTTCTGGGGAAGATTCTTTCCCCTCCAGATCAGAAGCGCTATGCAGAGGGTGACAGTACAGTTGGCCTTACCACATTTATGGTCACCATGGTTGCAGGTTTCATTCGGTAGGACACAGGGATGGAGACGAGCCTGCCTAGTGTGATGAACCCCCAGAATAAGCTCGGCAGGTAGCCAGCCACCTTGTGAACCACAGAGAGAGGTTCCTCCACTGCATAGCTGTATACGAACCCAGAGTACTCGCCCTGCAGGGAAAGCAAACAGCACTCTGCATTAATTTTACATCTCATAGCCCTAGCCCCCTGAAGAATACGGGCCTGCTCTAATATGTCCTCTGTGATGCTGTTTATCGTGTGTCCCCCATTGTGATAGGTGCTGTACAAACAGAACAAAGAGATGCTCTCTGCTTCAAAGAGCATACAATTCAAGTAAGAGTCCATGGAGGGCTTGCAGGACTGAACCCTAAGGGAAAAGGAAGGGAAACGTACTGCTTCTGAAAGTGGGGGATGCCATGCAAACCTCTAGAGAGCTGTATCCTGTCCTGAAACAATGCTGCTCCCCTGCAGGCCACCACAAACTCTTCCCTTTGTAAGCTTGCTAGTCTGGCTTTGAACCTCAGTCTCCAGACAGGATACTGCATGTATCCTCCTTTCCTTAACGTTACTGAGCCGCAGCAAATAGACACAGCACAGCAAGGAGATGTGTGCGTGCTATGGCAGCGCAGCTGGGATGCTTACCCAGGTTCAGAATATAAGGATAGTTAATTCATGTTAGAAATCTTGAGCCATGAATCATGCATCTGATTTACCAGATATTATCGCTTGTCTGCACATGGAAATGGGCACCTAAATGGTAGCTGTTGCTTCTCTCTCTCTCACACCCACCCACTCCCCACCTGCCCCCTTATAAGGATGGAGATGAACAGGGATCTGTTGTCTCTCATGTAAGTGCCCTAAGATAGGAGATATTCTGATGTGGGCTGCTCTTCATCTCTTGTTGAAACTGTTCCACTGTAGTAATGGGGCCACAGACAGCCTGAGAATCACTGTATCGTCCAGGGGTTTGGGTACTCACCACAGCTGGGGGAGAGTCTGACTCAAACCCCCAGCTGCTTGAGGAAAAAGGATTTGAATAACAGCCACCTACCTCTCAAGTAGCTGGCCCAACTGCTGGATTATAAGGTGTTCTGATGTGGGCCCCTACCCCTCTCAACCTTTCCTCGTGAAACTGTTCCACTTTAATGAACTATGAATTGGGCCAAAGCAAGATGTAAAGGTGAGGCGCCCGCAGTAGCTCAGAGTTGGGGTTTTTTGTGGGATGAAGACCCTGGTGAAGGGTAGGGATCTGAAGGGGGAAGCACCTTCAGCCTTTCCTGTTGAAGTGTTTCCTTGTTACTGAACTATAAATTGGGCCAAACAAAAATGAGACATCCTCACTAGCTCAGGGGTTAACCTTTCTTGAGATGTTGATGCCCTGGTTTCAGTTCTTCTCTCTCTCTCTCACTCCTGTGGGGCAGGATTTGAAGAGGACGCTCTCTTGTCCTTTCCTCGCGAATCTGGTTCCACTTTAATTAACTATGAATTGGGCCAAAGCAAGTACCCCCAAAGAGATGCCTTTTGTGGTGTAGTGGTTTGGGTACTCCCCTGGGCTAGCAAAGCCTCTAGTTCAATCCCTCCTTCTGCCTGGGGAGGGACGGACATTTGAGGCGGGAGCGCCCCCAACCTTTCCTCTTGAAGCTGGTTTCACTTTAATTAACTATGAATTACTCCAAAGCAAGCTCCTCTAAAGAGATGCCTTCTCTGGTGTAGAGGTTTGGGCACTCCCCTAGGATGCTGAGGGCCCTGGTTCAATCCCTGCCACGGGGAAGGGGTTTACAACATGTATTGGCTGCCTCTGGGGCCTTTTACTTAAATATTTGTTTGGGGGGGGGGCACCTTAAAAAAGCAAGTCACTCTTTTGTCCCCCGTGGCTAGGCTACCCGCCCAGGCTGTGGGAGACCCCAGGCCCAACCCCTCCTCTGCAAGGGGTTGTGCCAAGGCTCTCCCACCTCCCAGGAGACCACCCGCCTCCCGCTTACACCTCCCAGCCCCACCCCCACCTGGCCCCCCAGCCACCGCCCCTCCCGCCTCCCAGGCCCACCCCCCACCCCTCCCGCCCTTGCCCCCACCCACCACTCTTGTGAAGTGAGTGATCTCTGTTCAAACCCCCTTCTGTTTCCAGAAAGACAAGGGCCTTCCGCAAGCGAAAGGGGACCTAAACAGGAACCTCCCACTTCTCTCCTGGGAGGTGGGATAGCCTTCTCCAAATCCTTTTAAATAGTCAGAGGAAGGATTTGAACCAGAATCCTCCACCTCTTAAGCAAGCAACTTAACCACTGGACTATAGAGTGACCCTAGACTGTTGCCTGGCCCAGTTCATAGTTAACTAAAGTAGAACAGTTTCAACAGAAAAGATACACGCAGCTCAAATCCTAGCTCCTTCAGGACCAGGGACTTGAACCAGGCTCTCCAACACCACAGGTGCAGGCCCTGGCCACCAGGCTATACAAGGCTGCTTGCTAATGATATTTGCTTTGGACCATTTAAGAGTTAATTAAAGTAGAACAACTGCAATAGGAAAGAATATTGCTATGCCAAACCTTTCTCACACAGACAGGGATTGAACCAGGCTCTCCTGTACCCAATGTCCACACCCTAACCACCAGGCTACGTAGGACTTCTTGCAAATGAGGCTTGTTTTGGCCTAGTTAATTAAAGCGGAACAGTCTCAAGAGAAAAGAAGCTCCCTCTTTCAACCTGTTCTTAACAGACAGAGGAAGGAGGTGAAGCAGAGTCTCCTCCCTTGGTGATCAGCAGCCTAACCACCAGTCCTTAGAGCAATTCTGAGCCTTTTACTGGCCCAACTGGTAATGAATTAAAGTGGAAAAGCTTCAGCTGCAGTGTGGATGATAACACTGACCTCCTTTGTAAAGTGCTTTGATATCTATTACTGAAAAGTGCAGTGTAAGACCTAGAGAATGAAGGGCTAAATTCTGCACGCTGTTACAATAAGTAATAATAAAACCGCTCTACATCTCCTGAATTGCTGTTGCATGGGACTTAGGCAAGAAATACAAGCCTGTTTCCTGACTGCATTATGAGAGTGGCTTTCTCCTGGAGCTGCTATGGCAGAACTAAGCCTTCTATGCATTGTCCTTTGTAACGGTTACATGGATTGCAAAAGCAGGCAAGTAGGCTGCTGAGTTAGTGTGATAGATGGTGCCTGGGTGAGGGCCAGGAATGCCTGTGTCAGCAGATGGGATAGAAAAAGGTTCTCTTTGAAGGGGGCTGGCAGTTCCTAAAAGATGTAATAATACCAGAGGCTCAAAAACAAGCTATTCTGATGCAGGGGAAAGATAAGAGCCACAGGACGGGTACCCAAAGTCGTCAGTTACGTCTAAAAATGGAGGGCCAGCTGTGTTCTAGCAGCAGCTGCCATATCTGCTTTTCACAGCGAAGCACGTTTTCAAGACTGTTTAATGCCCCAGTAAGGCTCGGTGAGTTTTGCACTTTCCCTCACACAGATGGGGCAAAATCAGGCACAATTTACAAAGGTAGGACGAGGAGCCACACCTCAGTTCTTGGCCATACTGCCCATTTTTGGGGGTGGGATGGGGGAATCCTCCCTGCATCCCCCACAAGTAGAAAGGAATCCAGATGCAGCAGAGCCAGTGTGATGCCACTGATCAGGGTAGAGGAGGGGCATGTAGAGAATGCACAGTATGCTCTGAAACAATCCAGGTGGGAACTTCCAGCCCAGCCCCTGTAGGCTCAGGAAAGCTCCCTGAACACAGAGCTAGCAGCCATTGCATCTGCAAAGCACAGCTGCTCTCAATCCATGAGTGGGGTGATGAGAAAGGATTCCTTCAAACCCCACTGAAGTCCAGCCCGCACTGTGCGCAATGAACAGAGTACGTGTATTTTGCCTGAGGCTTAGCCTGGTTGTAAAGGATTCAGGGTGGAGAGAGTGCCACATAGCTTTGATTCAGAGAGGATTTCTTGGCCAGCAGTACTTACTATGATCCCGTCACTCATGAAGAGGACAAGAGCCCCAGCGACGTGGACTGCGAAGTAGGAGTAAGGAGCTCCTCTGAAGTTTTTGCTTTGGCAGCAGCTAAATAGGTCGTCATGCGCTGGGTTAAAAAAAAAGAATTCAAAGCAAATGTAAGTGGAGCTCCCAACTAGCTGCTCGCCCTACCACTCACAATGGGGATTTGTTCTGTCACCTGCCCCTGGACAAATGGAGAACAAACATACAGCTCTGTTCTGGGTTGCGTACGAGCTGGAACACTGATAAGAGGTTATCAGTATGCTATGCTATGCTATGCAGAGGTGCCCACGTGAAATCTTGCCATAGCACATGCCATCTAGGGAGCAGGTAGCGTCACCTCAAAGCTCTCGGAAGCTGAGGAGGATGGACTTGGGGAGCACTAGCCTGGCTGATGATTTAGAAAATCTGGGTTCAAGTCCAGCTCAGCCATGGATTTATTATTCTTATTATTTACATTGCGGTAGCTCGTTGAGGTCCTGCCCGAAATCAAGGCTCCATTGTGCGGGGCATTGTACACAGCGAGAGAAAATCCCTGTCCCAAGAGCTGACAGGCTGAGGATGGGTCTACACTGCAATCAGTGTTAGTACAAACCCAGGGTCCTCGGCGGGGTCATGCTGCTGCAACTTCACTGCTATTGATAGACGAAAGCTAGCTCAGTATGTCCACATGGGCTGCAGTCACCACTCTGATCGCATTGGAGAGAGGCCCTGGACCCCATGCCCTGATGCCTCTGGGACCAAATCCCTGAGTCTCGCTAGTCCTCAGTAAAATGGGGATAACAACCCTTGGTCTATGCAGACTGTAAGTTATTTGGGGCAAGGTATGTATCTATACAGTAGGGCCATGATCTTGGCTGGGACTAATGCTGCACAAAGAATAAATGGGGGGGTGGAGTGAAAAAACTATGGTAGCTTTCAATAAAGTTAATGAAGTGCTTGGCACATTGAGTGTATTTTTCGTCTACAACACAGTTTATAAGGTAGTAACTATCCCGCCTTGTGTGTGTGTGTGGGGAATGGCATGACGGGGAAGTGAAAGGATTTGCCCGAGGCCACAAAAGGAATTAGCATCATTATATATGGGGCTCGATTCTCTCCTGCCTGGCATCTTGTGTCGTCATTTACTCCAGCCTAGAGGGCACATGTGTAAGACAAAATCAGAACAGGAAGGGACCTCGGGAGGTCATCTAGTCCAGTCCCCTGCACTGTTGTGACCATGCTGAGTTAGAACAAGAGCTGGTTAAAAGATAAAACTTGGGTTTACCAATAAATAAAATCAATTTTGTTTCGATTTCAGGGCATCTGACTTGGACTTTCCGCCCTCCGCCCCCTTTAAAAAAATATCGGAGGGGGGGGGTGATTTTATTGAAACACGATCACAAAGCAGGTTTTTGGCAAGTGAAAAATGTCACTAACCAGACACATTTCAGTTGCCAAAAACCTGCTGTTCGTTAAATGAAAATTTGGTAGCCATTTGGGGTTTAAAAAAAAAATTGAAAAAAAGTAGAATTTTCTGTGCAAAATTTCTTTTTTGGAAAATCAGACATTTTTCCACAAAAAAAACCTTTTGACTCAAAAGTTTCAGCCAGCGCTAGTGAGTCATGCTTCACCTGCACTTTTGCACTTGGTATAAATGACAACACAAGGTGCAGGACAATAGAGAATCAGGCCCATTCTTTCTACTGTACGAGTGCCTAAAGACCCCAGTCCCGGATCAGGGCTCCATTGTGCAAACACAGACAAACACTACCAAGACTGACTGCCCCAAAGAGCTCAATTAGACAATACCTGAGAGGTGGACAGACCAACAAACTGTGGGGAGGACAAGATAACACAGATAGCTGCATCTGAATAAATTTACACCGAACAGTGGCCTCAAAAGTCATTTAAGATTAGCCGCTAGGAATCCCTGGCCATCCATCCTGTGCTTTGACCACATTTCTCATTAGTACAAATCTCTAGACAGGGTAAAAGATTAGCGTTAAGGTGCACACAGCTTTGGACCCTGTGCTACGTCTACACAAGTACTTAATATACTACACCGGCAAAGCTCACCAAGTGTGGACACGGATTATACGAGCAGCTGTGCTTTTGCCAGCATAGTTGATGTCACCGAGTCTACAGTAGGGATTTTACCAGGACAGCTCTGTTGGTCAGGAATCACATCTCTGCATACCCCTGACTGACAAATGGAAGCCACCGGAAGTCTGTAGCATAGATGTGGTCACGCATCCACTTCCCTCTCTGCAGTACCTCCTCTCTCCCTGCCCCTAATTCTCTCTGTCTAAAAGACTCACCTTTACTTCATTGTAAAGAAAGAAGTGTCTTTACCTGTGTTATGAAGGCCAGGTCTACCCTGTAGACCTCTGTCAGGCTAGCTGTTGGTCAAGGTGTGCCCCTGACCAACAGCTATGCCAGCAGCAGTCCCTAGTGTAAATGCAGTTCTGTTGGCAAAGCTGGACTTCTATGGATATTGCTTATTCCGCTCAGAGGGGTGGTTTTACTGCACCTATCAATTGTAGCTTGCCAGTATAGCTGCATACACAACCAGGAGTGCTTTTTTGGTATAGCATACCCGTATTTCTAACCCATAAAGTGCTCCGAATATAGACATGGCCTAGCTTTAACGTAGATACTGAAACAAAGCATTTTAAAATACCCATTCACTTACCACTAGTTATCCCAATGGTTAAATATACTTGGCATTTGTTTCTCTCAGCTTGGTAAAGAATCAGTTACGTGTGTTTGGTTTGCTGCAGCAGCTTTTGGGATGCACACAATGCAAAGGAGCCCCCACATTCATTTAAGAACAGCTGAATTTAAGCAAAATCAAGGAAATAATTTCTTTTGGTCTTGGGTTTTATATAAGTTTGCTTCCTACAAAGTCAAAATTCAGGACCAAACAGGTGAAATTCCTTTGGTTGCTTTACCCCCTATCTCGTGAGAATGGCTCAGAAAGAAACAGAAATCCAGCCGAGAGGAGTTTGTTTCAAACTCAGCAAACAACAACAACAAAAGAAATAGAGTTCAATGTTCGAAAGAGCTTATGTGATTTAGCAGCCCAAGTCTCCTTTCCAAAAGTGAGGGAGGCACTTAGTAATATGGGATAGTTATGTAGTCACATTGCTTAATGCACCACCAGAAGGTGGCCAGGTACTACTGTCTGGGCATAGTATAAAAGCTTAGAGAGCAGTACAGTGTCATTGAAAATGGCTGGGGCTCCTAAATCACTTGGGTGCTCTTGAAAGTTTTGCCCTTAGTCACGAGGGCCCTTGCCTTCAATTCAGTGGCCAAACCCCCCTTGACTTCCATGCCACAGGTTCGGGGCCTAAGTTGCTTAGGCTCTCAGACATCTTACTCATAGTCTAGCGCTCTACCTACAGGGCTGGCATTGCACTCCCGCAGCTCAAGCAGTGAACAGAGGAGTCAGGAAACTATTCACAGCTCTGCAACCCACCGGCTGTGTGGCCTCAGGTGAGTCACTTCACCACTTTCAGTGCCTCTGCTCCCCCTCCCACTCGCTGTCTGTCTTGTCTCTTTCAGGCAGAGACTGACTCTCTGGGTGAGTACAGGGCCTAGCATGATGATCCTGGTTAGGGCTTTTAGATGCTACCATAATATAAACAATAATAAAATCTGCAGTCCTGTTTTGGGCAAAACTCACGTGCAGGAATAGGTGCATTGGGCAGTAATTCAATGCCCGATGGACCTGCTGGCCAAGCCAGACAGTTTAAAGGGAAAGCCAGTCCCCAGCCAAGCCCAATCCCCCCAACCTGGATCTGTGACCCAAAATGCAGGTCAAGCCACTAGAGTAGAACACCACAAAGGAAATCCACAAGAACATGCAGGGCTGAGCACATAGTTTTTCTGCACACCCCAGCGATAGCAACAGACTAGGTTCACCACTGCCCGCAGGATGCCTGCTGATATGAATGGGAGCTATGGGCGATCGGGGCCCCTTTGCAGGTGTTACACTGGCTTGACTTTCCCATGGCACCTTCCCACCTGCAGAGGTTCAGTTTGAGCCCATCCCGTGTCCCCTTCTTGGAAACCACATTCCTTAGGGGGAAGGGGCTGTAGTCATCTCACCTCTGTCTGGCGGGGCTCTCTGCAACGCGACGGAATGATTCTCCTTCTCGGCTGGCTGCGTTTCCATTGCCAGTTCGTCTGCAGACAGCAGCGGGCGGCGCCCGTTATTGAAACAGGGCACCAGCCTTTCCTTGTAGAGCAGGAAGAACACCGCGATGGGGACTGGCAGCTGGTGGAGCAATGGGAAAAGGCAGGTCAGCCAGCCTGGGTTTATTCTCCCTCTGACTCAAATGTCCCCTGCCCAATCTCCAGATTTGTTCCTCCAGGGGCAGGAGCTGCTCCCGCCTAGGGGGGTTATGGTGTTGGACTCAACTTCCAAAGGGCATGAGCTTGTGTGAATTTGAAGCAAGCCTAGTGGGTGTAAGCGTCCTCGAAGCTGCAGGTAGCAGAGCAAAGACCCTTGGCTAGCATATACCCCACCTTCCCTCTGTCCCAACCAACTGGGGAATGAAGGAAGGGCTGGAGGGCTCGGGGGGCTGGCAGTGAGAGAAGGAGGCTGTCACTTGCCACCTGGCAGGTTGGGGGTGAACGAAGAACTGGCTGACAAATGTCAAGTTTTTCAGCAGCATTTCAAAAGCTGAAATACTTCAGTTGTGAAATGCAGCAGCAGTGCCTCAGGCTCCCACCAGGGAGCCCAGCCCAGTGAGGGCTCCATTCCTCAGGGTGCGCCATGGTCTCACCTCTTAGTGAGAGGAGGCCGAGCATTGTGGCCAAGATGCATCATGGGGGGTGAAGTCCAGCTGGGGAGCCCAGCTCATAGAAGGGAATGGGAAGATGAAGGCTCCTGAAATACAAATCCCATGAAGCACCGCGGCAGCATTTCACAACTGAAATACTTTGGTTCCTGGGAATTATGGTTTTGATGAAAAATATCCAAGTTCTCCTGTGGAAAGCAGACAGTTTGCACACAAAGTGTTGTTCAGACAAAGAGCCAGTTTGGACGGGACCTCTGCAGCCAGCCCTCATTGTTAGCACTCAGTGGCTAACTAGTGTCTGGCATCAGATGAGTTTGTGAGTCTCCACCCAGTGCCCACATCACAAGGATCGTGGCACTCCCACAACAAGCTTTCACTGGCCTCCTCTTTGGCAGCCTCAGCTGAAAGACCATGGCCTGAATGGAGACTGAGCTGCCCCTCTTTGCGTTTTTATACTGCAGTGTCACCTAGAAGCTCCCACTGAATTCAGAGTCTCCCTTGTGCCGGGGGCCGTCAAAGACAGTCACTGCTGCAAAGAGCTCACTAACTTTAGTCCTTCCCGGACAGAGCTGCAGCTCACTGGTGAACAGTCTCCGGGCTGTCATTGTGCAAACACACATTGGTGCTATGCCACCTGGCACTTCCCTGCAGCATCAGTCCAAGGTCACGGCTTAGGTTGGGCTTCTCACACCCACGACTCAGTGGTGCCTTTAGACCCACAGGGATTTATTCCTTTTTGTTTGAAGGGAAAATAAAGGGAATTAAGTAAAGTCACGTCCCCTCCTTCACCGCTTAATTGAAGTCCTGTTTATTCTGTGACAAACCAAGGGAGAAAGCCAGGAAATCCATAAGTTACGGCTCACACTCTGTCCCAGTTCTGGCTACTTGGTTTTGTTTTCTACACATCTGTGAGCAAGTGTGAGCGCTAACGCTGAATTTCCTGGTTTTTGTTGGCTCAGGGTGTTATTTAAACGTATGGAGGATTTCTCTCCCCTCCACCCCACCCGCTCCCCGCACTGAATTCATTTACGAGGACTCCATTGTTCTAGGAACAATGGGAATGGGAACAATTAGTTCAGTCCCATGGAAGAAAAATGTATTCACTTGATAGTTCTAATCCTTCCGGAGGTCAGGACCATATTTTAATTGCGGATTTGCCACAATAATAAAATACCAGTTTAGCAGACCTTGCAGACATTCTCACCATGTATTTACACAGCACCTGCCAGCCTAAAGGATCCAAAGTGTGTGTGAATAAAAGGGAGGCCACTGTGGGTAAGGTACTAGACTGAGTGTCAAGAATCCAGGGTGCAAACACTCCCTGTGTGACCTTGGACAAGTCATTTGACCTCTCTGGGCATCAGGGCCCATCCGTGAAACAGGGATAATAATCGCCCTCTCTCTTCAGAGCAGGGACTGTCTCATTATGTGTATGTATAGCCCATAGCAGAATGGGGCCTTACCTTAATACAAATAATACCATGTGTACCTTACTCACACACACCAGAATTAGCAGTGGGCCTAAACCAAACCCAAGAACTGTGTAACAAACATTCAGAGCCCTCTCTGATACCACCCACAGTCAGATTATCACCCACCACCACAGCGCAGCCACCTCTGGAGTGAAACATGGCAGCCAACTACATGCAACAAAGTGAATCAGAATGGCACATCAGCTGCTCAGTCGCGAGCTGCTTCATTCATGAAGATGGATGGGGTTTCTCTACAGCCAGATTGGATCAGGATATCAGGTCATTCAAATCTGCTACCCTGACTCCAGCAGTGGCCAAGACCGGATGCTTCTCTAGAAGGCCACCATGGCCAGCTGCGCAGTGCAGAGCAAGAGAGAGATCAGTTGAGCTTCCAAGTCCTGAGATGAGGCTACCCTAACTCTAGGATGTATGAGTACCACTGACCGAGCACATACATACACATCAGTCCCATCCTGGTACTCAAGCAATCCAATGTTCCCAACAGCGAAGTGTCAGGAGATGTTTAATTCCTCCAGGAGAAGGTCGTAGTCTCCGCATACATTTGGTTTAATGCACAAAACGTATTCGTTCTTTGCCTTTCTGCAGCACCTTTGGTGCAAGCTGCTCAAAGAGCTTTGCGGGCATTAGCTGTTCAAGTCTGACAACAGTCTGGTGCAGCGGACAGGACACAGACCTGGGAATCAGGTTCCAGTCCCAGCTCCACTAGTGACTAATCAAGTGACTTTGGGCAAGTCTCTTAGTTTCTCTGTGCCTCAGATTATCCCCATTTGGGAGCATGGCACGGATCACTGTAAAGCACTTTGAGACCTCTGGATGAGAAGCGCTTCCTAAGTGCCACGTATTATTAGTATTATTGTAACCCTCATACGAGGAAGGTAAAGATCATCTTCATTTCACAGGTGAGAGGAAACTGAGGCACAGGGCGAATAAGTGACTCGCCGCAGATCACACAGCAAGTTGGTGCCTAGGGCAAGAATAGAACCCAGGAGTCTTGAGTCCCGGTCTCCTGCTGTAGCCATTAGACACACCATTCCCTCTCACATATTAGAAAATACAGGGTGAAATCCTGGCCCCGCTGAAATCAATGGGATTACACCCACCACAGCAAACAGCTACTGATGGGAAAGGCCCTGCTGAAGCATGGATTGATTCCTAGCCTTGTGCCGGAAGTCAGGACACCGGTGTGCCCGGCTGCCGCTGAGATTGGGCATTTGAAGCGGAAGGAGCAATCGGAAAGGGGCTCTGTGCAGACAATGGGGGAACCAAGAGAGCAGGCTCCCGATCCCCAGAGGCGGCTCTGATCTTAAACCAGCTCCTGGCCTGTTGGATAACAGCCTGGGGCAACGTCCAGGCAGTGTGGGAGAGGCTTATGTCACTCAAACCAGCAGAGGGCGAGTGCATGGGGTGGGGAGTCAGCCAATCGAAGCAGCTCGTTGGTCAGATGAGCAAACAGAGATCACCACGCTAGCTTTGCAAGGGAATGTTTCACTAAGCAAGGAGCCAAACTCACCCCTGGCACAAAGTGCCCGACTTTAGTGGAGTCACACAAGGGGACAAACTGGTCCCTAAGGCTTTACCCTGGGATTTCTCATTAGTTACTCGCACCTTCTGGAGCGTGCTTATGCTGCTTGCCTGATCCAGCCAAGTGTCTTATAGAGCCAGCTGCCCTCTGTCCTCCTTTGATATTTCCCTATGTTCCACCAGAAAAGGGCAAACAGCGAGGAGCGGCGTTGGCTCACGGATGTGATTTGTTTGCCAAGATATATGGGGCAGGGCCGAGGCATTTATTACAGGAACTTGCTCCTTGGAGAGGCTTGGTTTTCTTAGGCTAACACACTGGTCACCTGGGCTGCTTGGCACATGGTTTAATGAGACTTCCTTATACCCTGCAGCAATCCTAAACAGAACTATAAAGGAACAGACAGCAGACACAGGCGTTACATGGCTAACTGCCCCACCCCCGGGGCTGGAGATGCACCCCCATGGATGTGGTAACACTCATTGAAAGGATAACCTTTTCAAGGCTCAGTTTACCTTTGGAAAGGCTCCTGCTTCCCCAAGCAGCTAGCAGAGCCAGCCATTCGGGGTACAGCCAGGCAATGAAAGTTGGTCCTGGCTCATTCTTCCATGGGGTAATCCTAAGACTTCAGCAGCAATGAATTTGGCCCAGAGTTTTTTTCAGCTTAGCCTCTTGCTGGGAAATGCTGGTGGGTTGCATTGCTAAGGAAGCAGTCAGAATCTCTCTCCTGATCTTGCTGTTTTGCATCAGCTCTCAATAAACTCAGGTGTTATTCCTCTCTCCTGGTCTCTCTTAGGGACTTCTTATAGCCCACATCACCAAAATATGTGAGTGTATCACAATCTTTGCTCTATTTATCCTCACAACACCCCTGGACAGTAGGCACTGCTACTGTTCTCATTTTAGACATGGGGAATTAGGCACAAAGAGACTAAGTAACTTGCCCAAGGACACTCAGTTCGTAGTGGAACAGGGAACTGAACCCAGCTCTTCTGAGTCCCAGGGTAGAACCCAATCATTGGACCAAACTTCCCCTCAATTTGTCTCAACTGGCTCTTTATTCAAAACTCAATAAATTGGTTGATCAAGGCAGCAAATGCAGTTATAATCATAGCTCTCTTCCATCTCTAGATTCTATTTCAGCCAATCTCCCTCCCGGAGCACGGATTACCCCCAGCCTTCTTCTTAAGAACCCGAGCAAAGGAGCTTCCACCAGTTCCTTTGGGATAATTACCCCACAGACAAACAGATCCCACCCTCAGGAACTTGCACTGCCAACGCGGGAATGGAGTTTCCATTCTGCGGAGAACCCTGATGCGTTGAATCTTGCTTTTGTTCAAATCAGAACGAAAAGCTGAAATGTCAACATCTCCTGCAAAATGAAGGTTCTGAACATTTTTGATTGAAAACCATCGAAACACTTTGGTAATGTTGAATCATTTTGCTTTGATAAGACACAAAT